TCCGTATCGTCAGACAACTTGGTGGAGGATTACAGACTTGGTAAACGCATCGCACGCAAACAACAACAACAATAGCAATCAAAAACCAGTCAAAATGTCCAATTCTCACTTGGAACAACTGCATGAGGACTGCGCGTGAATTGGAAGCAATTCGCCCAACCCAACCAATCAGCATTTGCAATTTCAACCTCAAGCCCGCGAAAACCAGCCGGCATTTTTAAAACAAATTTCTCTTGTTTATAAATTCATGGATCCTCAATAGTGACATCAATCCGAAGTGTTCCTGGTTGTCCGTATCGCCAGGCAAATTGGCCGAAGTTTGCAGCCTTGTTAAGCGTGTATCACACGCACACAACTGCAATTGACAATCAGTCAACATTTCCTGTTAACGTTAAGAAGCGCGATTGGGTACCAACTAGAAGGCATTCACTTAATCCGACCAACCAGAATTTGCGATTTCAACTTCAAAATCGTGAAAGCTAGCCAGCATTTTTTTTAAAAAATTGGCTGTCAATGAACTTATGAATTGATGCCGATATTGCGCCTTGTTGACGGTTTTTGCTAATATCTACGCCGACTAAAGCAGACCACGATGAATTTACGGATCGTGCCTGGAAACAAGCAGCCCGTATGGATGTCTGCTGGCAACAGCTGATATAGATGGCTACTGACAGCAATATGCTGTCTCGTTTCATCGCCTACCAATGATATTTAAGTTACCCGCATCAGGGCATATCACAGTAAGTTTAGATCAAATTGGATGTGAAATCAGATCCTGCGGCTTGGTTGAGTCTCGTCTCCGCCTGGTGACAAGAGATGCATGCTCACTGCAAATGTACACACTCAGCAAGTATTAATAATAGTTCTGGAAAGGGAGCAACGATGTCCGCCAATCACAGGGCTGCATTTGGCATGACTAATAGGAAAACAAGGGCCCAGACAAGTTCGCTCAAAAAGGGGCCAACGATAACGGTAGAAAAAGACCTGGTGTCGAAGCCGAAAAAAGAGATGCACATCCTCTCACACACACACACGCACACGCACACATTCACACTCTGCAACATCTCGCGAGGCTGTCTAAGTAGCTTTTTTGCTTCTACTGCTTTCGTCATGGATCTCCTCTCCTCCAGTTCTGTGAGCGTTTTTTTCGTGTTCCGTGAAGTTTACGGGTTGCATTAAAGTGAAATTTAAAATATTTAATCTGAAGGCACCGATAAATTCATACAGTGAATACAACTATGCTTAGAGGACCACTGATCAATTGAACATGGCGTCTACGCAATTTGGACCAATCAAGTTAAAACAAGTGCGGCGCGTCAAATGAATTGAGCCATTCTTTCAGCATAACACAACGGGGTTGATGGAGACGGGCCACAAAGCAGTGACCAGTTGTGCGGTTTTTTTTAGAATCACAGATTAAAAGCAGAGACATTTCAATGAGGCTCAAACGAGCCTTCTCGAATTTTCCGTCATTAATTTGCGTGAGAAGACAAAACAGGCAAGACATAAAAGCGCAACACTTGCTTCAAACTGGCTTATTTTATTCCCGTAATTCACTTGAGTTTCAGCAGGCAACTAAGTCACTTCCCAATTGCGTGCACCAAAGCTTAAACGAGTGCTGTGTGCACGCAGACAAGGCTTGGAGGCATAATGCGTTTAGCCTACCTTGTTGGCCTGGTTCCCAAGCGACGACCGGAGGTGATTGGGCGGAGTGGGGGCGGCGGGGGTCGCGAGGGGGAAGAACATCTGGTCCCCTGACGACCTGAAGCTCGGTGGTTCCTCGTCGGTTGCCTTGGCCTTCTCAAACGACGTTGAGAGTTGCTGGACGGAGGCCTGTGGACCGATGGGGTTCTGCAGGGGCAGACTGAGCACCAGGGACGCCTTGCTCACTTCCAGACGGCTCGGAGGGCGGTAGTCTGTGATCAGATCGCAGCTCGATGGAAGGCTTCGAAGCCAATTGGCCACGTGCATTTTGTCCGGGGTCATGAGGTTGTAGCCTTGACCTTGGCGGGCAAATGAAAATTCGTCACACGTCTGTGCCTTAAGAAGTGAGCTATTTCACACATTAGTTAGGCTAGAAAAATAGTTAATCCTTCTCTTGTCCATTTTTCCTGATCTCAGCAAAATTAAATTGAGTTCATACATGAATGCGAAATTGTTGCCATAGTAACCGTTACCTTAATTACCGACTGATTTGAAATTGTAACTGAATTAAAAAGTCTGCAGGAAGCACCTAAACCTAGAGGACGGCGCGGAATTACATGAATAATTAAAACAAGATGGATTATGAGTCTGATTTTAAAACTACTGTCGTGTCTTAAGGAAGCTGCAAACGTTGGCCCAAATATGCTTCGCTAGCAAGGCCACGCCTACAATGCGGAAATCCAATCAGAGTGAAGATACTGCACACCACAAATCATTCCGTTCTAAATCCCACATTAGACCAGATTTATGCGCGTGATCCGAATGCCCTATTAGAGGAAATTCACCCACTCTGGCAACCGATGAGCATAAAATGCGATAAAGTCCACAGTTGGCAACAACCGGGACGACCTTGATATCGACCAATAGGAACGCCTGGGGGGAAACTGGGATCAAGGTAGTGTGTGCGTCATCCTGCACCCCAGTGAACGCACACGCGTGAAATGATCGGTGGTTCGTGTTTCGCCCCGGCTATGGGCACTTACCGCAAGATGCATTTAGATGGACCTGGTTACAACCGCGTCCCTAGATTCCAAGCTTCCACGATCGTGGAACGTGATTGACGGTTTATGCAGTAGGTCCAAGACGCTTAACCGAAACGATTAGGCCTCATAGCTTTTCGTTAGAACGCTGTGTCGTATCTCCTTATCAAAACAAAGAGTTATAAGACCTTGCGACATCAAAATCACCACTGATGCCGAAATTGTGACGGCAGCGTACAAAAAACTCCACGGTTCGGTGGGACATCTAACTCGGATCTTTGCTAAGGACTTTTTTTAGCGATCGTCCGTACAACCCGAGTCAAAAGCGCGCGCGGTAGAAAGTCTGGTTGCGTGTGTTTTTTTGCAACTTATTGTTCACAAAAAGTGGTTCCCGGATTAGTCAACAAATCGCGGTGCAGGCGAACTTCACTGCTTGATCATGACTGCGCTGTGGTTACTAAAAGTAGCAGTGCAATCCCAGTGTCCCAAATGCGGTGACATTTTCTTGCTGGCCTCGTTTCTTCCTCTTCTGAAAGGAGGGCTTCAGAAACCGGAAGTGGTCAATTCAGGTGACCTTGAGTTTCGGCTCGATAAAACAACTTGTTTTAAAGTGTACGCGAATACCGAACACCGATCATCACTTGCAACATCAAGTTAGCCAACCAGAGAGAGACCTTATTTGGAACCATTGAAGGGATCCCAAACACGTCGAACATCCGGTAAGTTAAAAAAGGAGATTTCTTGACTAATTTGGGATTGTTGGTGATTAGGACACCTACCAGGCATGACAGAGTGTGAGCTCAATCGATTTTTTGACTTCGATTTGAACGCCCGTCGCATTACTGCCTATCACTGCCACAGCAGAAGCAAATCAACCGCCTCAAGACTTCCAAATCAGTCTACGGAAGCTACTTGAATCAGAAATCCGCACTCAAATGTACAGACACGCCGACCGGTTTTGTAGATAGCACAACGCTGGTTCCCAAATTTGCTAATTTGCTGAATGACATTCATCGTGAGTGCCTGAGGTCACGGCGTGCGACCCCCAACGTCTAAACGCGTTCCAGCCTGCAAGCTGAGGTCTCATTTTCAACAGCTTGCAAGAACGACGTGGCCTGCTTTAATCGGCGTAGATATTAGCAAAAACCGTCAACACGGCGCAATATCGGCATCGATTCATAAGTGTATCAACAGCCAATTTTTAAAAAAAAAATGCCGGCAAGCTTTCACGATTTTGAAGTTGAAATCGCAAATTCTGGTTGGTCAGATTAAGTGAATGCCTTCCAGTTGGTACCCAATCACGTTTCTTAATGTTCAGAAGAAATTTTGACCGAATGTCAATTACAGTTGTGTGCGTGTGATACACGCTTAACAAGGCTGCAACCTTCGGCCAATTTACCTGGCGATACGGACAACCAGGATCATTTCGGATTGATGTCACTATTGAGGATCCATGAATTTATCAAAAAGAGAAATTTGTTTTAAAAATGCCGGCTGGTTTTTGCGGGCTTGAAGTTGAAATTGCAAATGCTGATTGGTTGGGTTGGGCGAATTGCTTCAAACTCATGCGCAGTCCTCATACTCTGTTTCCAAGTGTGAACAGGACATTTTGACTGGTTTTTGATTGCTATTGTTGTTGTTGTTGGCGTGTGATACGTATAATAAGTCTGCAATCTTCCACCAAGTTGTCTGACGATACGGTCGAAGTGTGTCGTTTGATTTGGCCATGACCAATTTCAGTGAGTCGACGTGGAGGGTGTGAATTGTCCAGACCTGACACGTGTGTTCGGCCAAGCAACCAGCACAGCAAACGCCACACACCTCTTTGTGCGCCCCCCACCCCACAATTTCCCTGTTTCTTTGGAAGTGAAAGTGCAAGATCAGTCAGATTGGATCGAGTTTGCTCCGAACGTTACAATCCACTCTAGGGCGATGGCTACAAGCGAAATCTACTCGTGATGCGCTTCAATTGTGAGCCGAATGTGACATCCATGAAGCATTGCAAAGGATGGCAAGACGCATCACTGAGAGAAAGGCCTCAGAAGAAACATGTGTTTGCCAGTTGTGTGAAAATCTCAGTTGTTTGTGTCGAACATCATTGCAGAAAAAGGCGGTGGCAGATTTAAAAATGGGAATGATTAAATTTCGCTCCAA